AGTTAATGATGCCAAAAGCTACACTTTCCTAAGAGAGAAAAAATATTCAAATTACAATTTTATCTTCAAAGAGATATCATCAAATGTCTTTAATAAATAAATGTTAAATTTCAATATTTGAACTATAAATTTTTAATAACAATAGGCCTCTGAAAATTTCAGAATATTTTAGAAACACTGAATGCTGAGCTTTCTTTTTCAGTATGTACATTTATGAACCATACTGAAGTTGAGTATTGAAATATCCAGTGATAGGTGTTTAATTATACCAGTAAGAAGCCAGTTTCAGATTACAGGCAGAAATAAACAGAGGTTTTGAATGACAGAAGTGTCTGAAACTTACATGTACAAGGAAAGACAAAAACCTAGTTCCAGAAGATGTTTTATAGACAGTTCTTCTCTGTGATGAGTCTTCCCCAGTATATAATTATCATAGTACATGATGTTAATATTCATCCACTTTCTTTCCTGATGTGTTCTAACATTCTCTGTGAGCACTCATTTTAAAGCATCATCTTGACTGGAATATAGTTATGGGGACTAATTCAAGTTTAAACATTTACTTTCTAAAATGTTCAGAAATCCTAATTAGCAGTTGACTATCATAACTACATCTCAGTGAGTAGAACTTGCAGGAACCGTTAACTGTAGAGAAGTCTCAGTCAATATTCGGACTATATGCATCTCGGGAAATTTCTTGTACTTGATTCAAAATTGAAGAAAAGAACTTAATAGCATGTTAAAAGGTTGCATTTGAGAGAAAAATTTCCCCCCTAGAAAATTACAACTCCTTGACTATCATGTTTTGGCATCCACTGCTTTGAGTTGGGAAACTTGCAAACATAGAGATAAAAAAGGAGATTACTTTTTATTTCAAGGATTCCAACTTTCTGGCAGAAATCTCAAGGCTGTTTTGCTAACATTTCTTATCTCTCTCTCTCTCTCTCTCTCTCTCTCTCTCTCTCTCTCTCTCGCGCGCGCGCGCGCGCTTTTTTTTTTTTTTTTTTTTTTTTTTACCTTTTACATCAATATCAATATACTCTATAATTTCACCCCCTCCCTCTGGTCTTAGGGTATAAGTCAAGATCTGTAAAATTATTTAATAAAGAAATTTAATTGCTCTGGAGGAATAGGGAACTTTTCTCTCTTGAAAGCCAGGGAAAGGTGGTGGCATTTAAACTTCTATAGAGATTTTTTTTTTTAAAGACACAAAAACCCACACACAGTAAAAACAAAATGTAAACGCTTAAAGTTAATTCATCTGGACTTTTATTTTCCTTCTACATTTACTGATTGAAATGTATAAAATATATATGGGTGTATTCAAAACAAATGAAATGCTGCAATCAGATGTGGTTAGAGCTTTGGCATGTTATATTTGTATCTTTTGGAAAGACTTTCTGTAGTACTCTCTGGTATTTTGGTGTGGACCCAAGAGATACTATGGTTCATATGTTCATCTATAATCACCTAAAAGAAAGCCAAGTATTGTCTCAAAATCAAGTTAAACTGTGTTTTCTTACCAAACCTATTGATGTGTGGATATGGAAAGCGCAGCTCGACCACCCACGTTAAAATTAAAGCTTCAATATCAAGATGCGAATCTCCTTAAACTTTTTTTAAATGTTAATTTTCATTGTTTGCTTCTGTAGGTTTACCATGTTGGTGTGCTGTTATAGCATTTATTGGGTGCATATTGTCTGACTTGAAAACAGAACCAGTAATGTGATCTTTTATGACAAAGGCAGCATATCTATATGTTGTATTACATATTTTTGTCACATACAGTGACTATTTTTTGTGTTTGCATTTTTCCATTTTTTAATTAGATAGAAATGTATTGCTAAAAATAGAGATGAATTCACATAGAGAGCTGATCTTTGTGTTTGTATGTGTTCTATAGTAATGAGGTCATCTGGCTTCTTTCCTCGTTCTGACATCACATCTGTGTGACTTTCGATAAGTCATTTTCCTCCCCAAGCCAATGTTTTCTAATAGCTTCAATGAGTTAGTGATTTTATCTCTTTTAGGATTATGACAAGAAAAGGGAGTGAGGGAGATACAGAAAGTGCACAATAAATCGCATGTAAATGAAAATGAACATTGCAGAAGAGCTTCAGCCAGAGCATTCTGAAAGATCTTGAGAGAAATATAAGCTGCACACCTGAATGGATGTCAAGTTAGCATAGAGCTAATTATTTTGGGTAAAAAAAAAAAAAAAGGCAAGACGGCACACCTGAATGGATGTCAAGTTAGCATAGAGCTAATTATTTTGGGTAAAAAAAAAAAAAAAGGCAAGAACCTGTTGCAAAACTGCACAGAAGACATTGTATTTCATATAAATGGTGATTCCTGTACCTCTGAAATACTCATGATGTGTTTTTTGTTGTTGTTTGTGTGTGTGTGTGTATGTGTGTGTGTGTATGATGGCATCTACATACTCAGAACAAAGAATTATTGGTTTTGTTGCTGAGAGTGCGACCACTGGCAGAGACTGGAAACTCTTATAAACACATGTATTGACTTCCATCATGGCACTATAAGCAAACAGCAGGTCTATAAGCTTATGCTAGTGAGATAAATAATAGATCAAGAAATTTAACATGATATCATGGGATTTGGGAATTTATTCAGTACAAACTGATATTTTCAGGAATTTTTTAGACAATTCTATCTCTGTGTTATTTGTATCAATTTTTCAAGAATTTTCTAGATAATTCTATCTGTGTTATTTGTATCAATTTTTTTTGCTATTAAATCTACCCCAATCAAGACCTACTTCTTCCCAAACAAATATCCTGAGTGGAAGTTTGAAGCAAAGAGGGGAAATAAAAGGGAGCTTACTGAATGTAGGTTTATTAAGACATTAATGGCTTGAGAATTCATCTCATGTTCTTTCTATTGAACAAGAACCATCTTCATCACCATGCTTATACCTCATCTGAAGCATTCTCCCCCATTACATCTCATAATCATGATGGTTCAGTAAATGATCCATATTTTATCACTATTTGCCAAGAAAAATCTTTCCAGAAACTACTTGTACTATTTTGTCAAAGACGAATAACAGCTAGGTGGCACTAGAGACAGAGGAGGTAAGAGAAGCTATTAATTCAGCCACATCTTATAAGTGAATATTAGTTACTTTGTGTTAAAAAACAAACAAACAAAAAACAAAACAAAAAACAACGCACACAAGAAGATAGAACTATAAAATGTCTTATTTCAATTCTTGAAAATAAGGCTAAAGTTTGAGCCCTTATTTGACCCGAGATGGCATAACTGTGTCTCGTAGGTACAGTCTGAGATAAAAAGTGCCAGGACAGAACTAAACCGATTGCCTATATTGTCTGGCCTGGGAGCAAACTATTGAAAACTGCTTACAAAGTATTTAGAATCAGAGATATTGGGGACTCCAGTGATATATTTTATTAATCCCTCAAAAATTCTATCGGCCAGGATGGTTAGGGTCCCAGCCTGATATGCTAAGGTGGCAGGTTTGATCCCCAGACTGGGCACCAACAAGAATCAACTAATGAAGGCATAGATAGGTGGAACAGCAAATCAATGTTTCCCTCTATATATCCTTTCCTCTCTCTAAAATTAATAAAAAAATACTTCTAATGGCAAACTCTTTGAGAAAAAAAAATACATTCTATGGATTTTTAAAATATTTTAAATTTATATTAGTGAATCGTACAGGATTTCTCTAAAGCAGCATGATTGATTACCCACATGTTTAAAGATGGCAGAAACTCTCTTCCACATGAGGCCTACATGACATACCTAAAATAAATAAATTACTTAATTAACAAGGCAGAAAACACCAACAGGACTTATAATTGAAGGCTATCCATCTAGGAGAATAATTCTGAGGCCTGTTTTTATCTTTTAGTCCATTGCTCCATGGTAGGGTATGAGTAGCAGGTTGCAATAGTTGTAATTCTCCTACCTGTTTAGCTAATTAGAATGGAGAAATGTCCACCTCAAGCCCAAACAGAACATTCAGGATGTTCCTTTATAGGCAGTGAATAAATATGTTAACCTATTTTATCGTGCCATAAATCTAAAACCCTTGAATATTTTATGTGTTTGACCTTTCTCTTGCTAGATAAAATAATCAAGTGGTTCTCAACCAGAGGAGATTTTTATTCCCACCCTCACTCCCAGGTACATTTGACAACATCTGGAGACATTTTTGGTTGTCATGACTGGGAGCAGAGGGACAACTGACATCTAGTGGGTGGAAGCCAGAGATGCTGTTAAACATTTCACAAAACACAAGATGATCTCCACAACAAAGAATTATTCAGCTCCAGATGTCACTAATGCCAAGGTTAAGTCTCTTGACCTGAGCCTATTTTCTCTTATTTTGTCTCTGTGATATAAGAGATTTATACTCACTCTGATCTTTTCAGCGCCGGGGAATCAAAAGAATGTGAAACCATAACATGCTGAGGCACTTCACAAAGATGCTTGAGTGAACGTCGCCTTTCCAATGGCGTGGGCTTTCACAAATATAAAACGGTGGTCACTGATCTCTCAGAGAATAAAATATAGCCTTAGGAGATGAAAATTGATTGTTCTAGAAGTCATCTCTTTGAAAAGAAACAAGTATATGCTTTGTAATAACAGTGTATTTAGGAAATTCATAAACATAACAGAACAGTAAAAAATACCTTCCATCTATTACCTATTTCACATTTAAGCATATTTCTAAAGACATAAGTAAGAAGAGCTGGGTTTGCTTTCAGTTGATAGCTATGTTATTTTAGGACTTCTGGCCACACTAGGATCCTTCAAACCACAATCAAACAGCTTAATTTATCTTGTGCTTAAAATTTTCGGTTAAGAGTAGGTATTAAGCATTTTGCAATTGTTTTTGGGAATTTTAAAGGTTATTAAGTTCCGAATAACAGAGTTCCTTATGTTTTCCCACCAAACTTTTCCCAGCAGTGAATATATCTGGATCTTATTCTGGTTTTTTGTTCTTTTTTTAGCTTCCTGAAATGACTCATGTTCAAACACGGCGACCCTGGTTGATGTTTCTCCTGCAGAATTTTGGATTGACCCTAGGTTGGCTTTCTCTGTTAGTCTTGGCTATATATGAACAAAATATTAAAATATAAGTTAAAAGCCTCAAAATCCTTCAAAAATGAATTTATACGGTTTCATTTTTGTTTCTTTTGTTGTACTCTATAGTGACTTGTAAATTAAGTATTTTTACCTTAGTGAAGTATGACTTTTAGTTCATTAACTTATTAATTTTATAATGCAACTTTGTGTTTGTAGTATAAACATGTCAGGTTGTCCTTAATAAAATTTTTGTTTATAGTCTACAACATCATGGAAATCATACCTCTTTTAGTTATTAGTAAATTCTAAATTAATTTTTGTAAACTTTCAAAAATATAATTTTTCTAATTAAAAAAAATGTTTGTTGGTAATATATGAAGTGAACAGATGCCTCTTGGGATAAAATTTGCTACAACTTTCTTGATGTCAAAAATATTTTTTTCTGTGCGATTATAACCATAAGCAAACTAAATTCCAAATAAATGTAATACAATTTAGATTGAATTTGATGGTTTATATTACCTTCTGTTACTGGATGTCGGATTCAGAATCAACTCTCATAAAACCAATAGAGTATCGTTCACCTGGAAGCTTGTCTCACCGGTTCATAAATGCTTGTAAACAGGCAGATTTGGGAAGCCTGAAGGGTAATATGTCAGCATTCTTCTACATAATCACCAAGTGAAATCTGCTCCAGGCAAGATAAAGCTCAAAAATTTTAAAAATAACAAAGCTTAAGTCAGGCAATAGATTAATGTGCCAGCTCACACAGATATAACAGGGCATGTTTATAGGAATAATATTGCTGACAAGTGAGATGTAGTTTATATTCTTTCTGAGGAAACAGGCCCCTAAGCCTTATTTCAGTAAGTTAGTTCATGACATATACAAGCAACATAACTAATAATCTAGAAAAATTATTAAAATAGAAAATAGCCCTGGCTTTAGTCACTTTTCTTGGAAGATAGATGCCTAATATTTTTCTTATTTTTTTCACAATATATATGGACAAGGGAAAAAGCCCATTTTACTGCCCAAATGACTCACGGCACTCACTCAAACACACCTCCGCTGCCTCTCACTCACCAGGAGGCAGCTACTTTGCCAGGTCCCACCCAGGCATAGTCTTTTCAGCCACTTACCTGTTTTCAAAATGAGGGGGTTTCTTCTTCAGATTGATTTAAGGGGGCATCATGATAAATGTGATGGTCCTCAGATGTTGGCATACATTAGGATTAACTGGTGGATTTATTAAAATACAGACTTTTGGCGTCCCTCCTGGGAGATCCTGATTCTGTAAGTCCTGAGGCTGGAAAGTGGGGTGGGGTAGGGAGGGTGGGGGCGGGCGGGGAGGTTTGATACTGATTTTGAAGAACTTTCCAGTGATACGAACGCTGATGCTGCAGGTCAGGGCAACCCTCTGAGCTCTGCAGGTGTGGTAGAAGTCAGGCACACCTGGCTCCCCAAAAGAGCATACGTACAACTCTGTTGCCAAGGGGCTATGTGATTTTATTTTTTTAAAATAGATTTTTTTGATTTTTTTTTACAGAGAGGAAGGGAGAGGAATAGAGAGTTAGAAACATTGATGAAAGAGAAACATCCATCAGCTGCCTACTGCACGCCTCCTAATGGGGATGTGCCCGCAACCAAAGTACATGCCTTTGACTGGAATCGAACCTGGGACTCTTCATTCTGCAGACCGACGCTCTATCCACTGAGCCAAACCGGTTAGGGTATGGGGCTATGTGATTTTAAGTTGATTCACATGCTACAAACTTCATGCTAGATCTGAGTTCCCAGTTTAAAATCTTCTTTTGAGAGCCACCTCTATCGCCGGAGTTACTGGATAAGGAATAGTACTCATATTTGCCTTGAAAGGTAAGCAGACCTGACAGAGGAGTTTTGTCCTCCTTTTGTTAGGCAATAACTTGTAGCCAAACAAAAACCCTTTGTCCGCATCAGCCGCGTAGAGGTTGCATAAAGTAGCACCTGGCACTGTGTGTGTTCGGATTCTTATGAACAAGTCGTGATTTTAACCACGAGCCTTAATTTTAGCCAATTTAATTAGGAAAGCTCTAATGATGACTTTGTTCCAAGTTGCAGTTTAGAGTTGTTTGGGGCTAGCTAAATTAAAATTTGTGATGTGAGCGACTCACTCCATAACCTTCAAGTTAGAGTGACTTTAATGTCTCCTAGGGTGAGGTGGTGGGCTGGATCCAGAGGGGCTGGAAGGCAGCTGGCTGTGAGAGGGATTCAGAGGGACGGTCTCAGTGAGTATTCTGCAAGCCAGTCTCCAGTGTGCTCTGCCTATGAGCAGAGACCTGACCGTCAGAGGTCATGCAGAGGTCATCCTAAAAATAGTTTGCTATAGTGGCTCCCAAAGGCACCTCTCTTGCTCCCAACCCTCCCCCGCACTACCTCAAAACTGGCTCTTCTCTAATCCACATCAGGTGGGTTAATTTGCTTATCCAGGCCAGCAACCCAATAGCCTGAGCTGGACCTCCAGACACCAACAATCTTAGAATTGCTAGAAATCCTCTCTTCCTCAAAATTGAGTGGTGGTAATAAAAGTATTATGACAATTTGCCTTCCACACATGGACAGAGCCTAGATTTGGGATGGGTGAACACTGTCATTCCGTGAAGTTGTATAAATTGTATGTTATTTACTGAGCTTTGGGGTAAATGGTGTTTTCCTTGAAACCTGATTTCTCAATAATGATAGAGTATTTCTGTCCAACGGGACTAAATTTAGGATTCCGCTGTATTTCTACTTGGTGATTGATTTTTATTTAGTCACTGAACTAGAAATGGTCCCGGAGGAAAATCGAAGAGCACGTCATACAGAATCTTATTTGGACATCCATCACCCGCGGACAGAGCGTCTTCAGGGGGAGGGATTGCCCCGTGTCGCTGTGCTGAGCGCGGGGCCTGGGAAGACGGTTCCACTGCTGTGTGCGGAGAGGACCCGAGGGTGTAAACCGGTGCCCACAAATCAAGGACACCACCGCTCCGCCACTCCTCCCAGCACCCGACTTTGGAGGTGAGGAGGTGCCTCCCTCTGTCACACACACCTCTCAGGTTCCTGCACCTTTACAACTTGCTTCTTCAAAGCTGGAGTGAAAACTTGGATCATGAGGCTGCTAAACACTGGGGTAGGCTGGAGGCTCTTGTGAGATCATTAGGAATTCAGGCTCTGAACTGGAATGTTGGTTCAAATCCAACTGATGCCGCCTCATAGCCTTGTAATTTCTTTGAACAATAACTTCTTCTCATGTGAGATGAAGCTAAAAATAGACCCTACCTCATAGGATGGTGGTGAGGCCAATATGGGATACTTGCTCATAAAGCACTTGGCATAATACCTGGAAGATCCTGGTGCCTCAAGAAATATTAAATCATTATCATCATCAGTCTCCCCCTCCCCCCCTTTAAAATCAGTTTCACAGTTTATCTCTCAAGGCTGAACCTTCAGGTCAAGGAAATGTCCTTTCTCGGTGGAAAATGAATGTCAAGCCCTTTTCATAACTGTAATCCTCTTCAAGCCAGCTCCCACAGGTTTTCAAAGTTGTCCTTAAACTTTTCCACCTTGGCTTATTTCCAGAGGCAGAGAGAGAGGTGGGAGTGGCTCTGATGTATCCCACTCTGCCCATCTCCCCGGGAAGCCTTGTGTCACAATGCTTACCCTCGGTGTGAGCCCTCTCTCTTACTTTGTCTCTTATCTTAAGCAAAGACCTACTATGATCCACTCCGATCACACTTATGAGGATGGAGAGGTTGAGTAATAGAACTTGATGGAGAGGCACTTGTCTGAGGTCATGTCTATGGTTACAATATGACTGCATCTCAGAGCAAGGAGTAGTTCAATGGATTCAATTATTCTTGTTGCCAATGCACCCACCGAGGGAATGAAACCAGCTCTGATATGCATCCAGCCCCATCAGGCTAAACAGGACGCGTGTCCACCGGAGGCCTGGCCTGTTTAAACAGGCAGGTGACCTCCAGCTGGCAGCACACAGCCTGCTCCGGACAGTCTGGACAATAAGGACACTGTGGAGACCAGTGCTCTGTCTCACCTGGGGCTGCACATGCCTGCACTGGCAAGCCCCTCCCCTACATTGTCATGCTTTTACTTCCACAGGCACCTCTCTAACCCCAATTGAAATGTAGAAAGTTTGAGGAGCTAAAGACATTTTCCAAAACAAAAAATGATCTTACCCCACACGCCACTGCTTCTTTGAAGGGTACCTGGAATGTATTTGCACATCCTCCCATTGTACCATCACTCCTGGCCCCTTCCCACAATGTTCCTGTCTCAAAGACAGAGAGAATCTCTGACATACAGACCCACACCCCCAGCTCCACCACCACACACACACTCCCTACTTAGCTTTGCAAAGCTTCTTGCTTCTTGGGAGCTTTCTTTCAGTGTGTGATAGCTCCCTCCACAGAGGCTCTTCCTCTTCCTTCTGTCCAGAGGGATGCTTTGTCCCGTTGGAACCCACTAAGACTGCCATCCCTTCCTCTCTGTACCCTTGGATTTCCTCACAGTTGTGGGAAGTACCTAGGATTTCTGGCTTATGGATAAGGTGTGTCTCATGACCGCAGCATTTCCCTTACATATCAAGCTATGCAGATACAGTTAGCCCACAACATCACATAGTGCCAGCTTCATTCAAAGTGCTTTCTGAGAGTCATCTAATTCTGTTTAGAACCCTAGAATATAGGTCTTCACAACCTTTTACAAATGAAGATACTGAGGCCCACAGAGGTCACTTAACTCGCCCAAGGCTGGCTCTGGAATCCATGGACTTAATCATCATGTCATACAGTCTACATGGTTGCCCACGCTCTCTTATCTGTGTAAAGGATTTGACATTGGGCTTGACTCAGATCTCTATGACTAACAGTCTGGTAATCATAACAATCTTTGCAATCCTCCCTGGTCCTGAATAATCAAAGCGTCTCACCTCTAAGGTCATTTGAGGGTGTTTTAAATATACACTTGATATATAATATCATGTTAGTTTCAGATGTACAACATAATGATCTGA